TGCAAATCACTAGCCGATTCTTTATGTACATTCGGCAGATTTAATAAATTATCCAAATGGTACTCAACTAACATTGGCAAATCATCGTATCTGTCACATAACAGCTGCCAAACCATTTCATAATTTTCAGCTGTCATTTTTCGTGACTGGACCAATTTTAATGCTTCACCCTGTACCGCTTTTTTCAGAAAATGAAACTTTTCGACGTTTGAAATATTTGTATTACAATGAACCAGTGATTCAAACATATCTTTAAATTCTAACCAATTTTCGACCTTTCCTGAAAAATTTGGTATGGGGATGGCAGGTAATTGAGGCCTAGATTGTGGTACCACCACCAAAGAGCCTGTTGACTCATTAATACTTTGACTATCCCCATTATCTTCTTCATATTTTCCTTCAAACTTTTTTCCGAACTCAGCAAGAAACAATTTGCCCTTGGTCATAGCACGAAAAAAGTCATTTTCAAATTTTTCACCCTCTTCTATCGCGGCCTCATATTGCGCATCATCAATACTCTCAACTATAATATCGTTATTAATCTCCTCAAACTCTCCCAAAACATTGTTCATTCTATCAATTCGTGCACTTAATTCAACGTACAACCCTTCTGTTACATTTTCTTTTATTTCAAAATTATCCAAAAATTTATTAAAACTAGTTAATTTACCTTTAATGTTACCCCTTTTTCTAGTTAACATTTTAATATCTTCCCCCATTTTAGATATACTTGTTTAATAACAAAAAATTAACTTACAATAGGTACTACGTTATAATGCAAGTAAATTCAACACAGGGAAGAGATAAAGGAAAGAACAAATACTAGGAAAGAGCGACTCACCCAACTGCAGTGTTTTCCCACCTTGCTTCTATTAAATTCCAGCTCGAAACATGGGTTACTTGCTTTGAATACGCTCTATTAGGGCACCAGTTCCAAACAAATACCACAATTCACCTATTAAGACGGGGCCACTCCCAAATCCAGCGTAGCTTGTTTCTTAAAAAATGTATGCTTCACCAAAAAATAGCTATTCGCTAACAAGCCGGTACCATTTACAATTATTTTTCCAGTTATTTACTGTCCAACTTGCCAATAACCACCAAAATTTCACTTATTTTTAATCCAATCCAGCTCTAAGGACCATATGTTGGGTTGTAAATCCCGTATTTAACTTCACTATATTAAAACACCAGCCTTACTTGAACATTTTAATCGAAAAAACTCTTGCATCAACAAGAAAAACAATAATAATTTTACAATACAAAACGGGCATCAAATCTCGAACATATCGAGAGCATACATAACCAAGACAGCGCGCCAACTCGTTTTTTACAGAAGTCGACGTTGCCAGACTGCAAAATGGCCAACTAATAGGAGTAATGGGTCTCTGCGTTGTAAGTAAAAAATAAACTATATAAAATTGTCCCAAACAGGGTATATTCTGTAAAGTTTTAGTTAATTTTAACCGCCAGTTTGAAAGGTTATTTATTTTTATGACATTTAAATTTTAACCCAACTTTCTATTCGATATTCCATAATTCTAATTTTGTGTTATTAGCTATTTTATGATCAATCGCAGTTAAAATAGACATGGCAACGACTAAAAGTGAGTTGAAATCAGGTCAAAGACCAAAAAATAAGGAGAATATTATATTTGACATATAATCATTACTAGATTTATTACTGACATTACTGACATAACTTTTAATTTATAACCAAATAATACAGAAAACAAAATTAAAAGTAACATCCGGTTATTTTTAAAACCCAGGGTTAATTTTAACCAAATTTTTACAGAATAGACCCCAAAGGCCTTTTATACTGAATCTGTTATATCTTTCCACAAAACCTGTCGTTGGAGTTGTTCATTTTCAAATCTTTTACATAAACCCATCCTTTTTTACCTTCTGTGGAAAACCTAACAAGGTCCTTGTCCATTTTGTCACATATGTAATTATTCAATTACAAACTACATTAGTTTTTTGACCACTGGAAGTAAATTCCTTGATGTTGTTTTTATCGAAAGCTTCTTAGGGAATCCGACAATTCAAACCCCTCTATCACAGCAGGCTACCTGTAACAAAACTAAAACTCTAAATATTAATTTCATAAACAAAAATAACTAAATTAACATACTTATCACGATAAACATTTTGTAATTTTTGGCTTTTTTTAAAACAAAATAAAAAAAGAATTTCTTTTCTGTAACAGGAGAACATCACTTTAAAAAAACTTTAGGGGAGTTGGGCCCTCGATTTCCACAATATCGCCGATATTATTTGATTGACATCGAAGAAGGAGAATCGGGAGAAAGGAGGGCACTCGAGTCTTTTGCCGAACTCAATTTAAATGCGTTTAAAGCTGAAGTGACGAGAAAGATGTTTAACATCTAGCTCGAAGCTCAATATAAAAAATAATGATATTAGAGATTCAGTTTTTTTTTGAATATATATGAAACTGTGCAATTGGAAAAATGTATTCTTGATTATAACTAGATAAAAACCTAACAATTCAAAATTTTATTCTATAAACATACCAGGTTAAGCGAAATACTCGTATTTGTATAGAAATTTAATTTCATTGTTAATTAATATAACATGAATTTGACATTAATAAAACACATATTTAAAAAACAAGGATACCAAAGTGCAAAGCTATGAACAAAACTTATTATAACTGAACGACAAATTAAAATTCTACAATGGTCCACAGTATCTAAATAATGAAATATTTAACTTATTTGCTATACTTTCAAATATTAAAACTACTCTATAAAATGTCATAATCTGAAACGTCATAACTTTTCAGGCCCACATTTTCGTATTGAGGAAAAAAATTTTTTCTTTTGTTTAGTTAGTTATAATTGGGGTATCTAGATATTAGCAATTCATTTATTATTATTTTATGTCCATTATAGTTGACATCGGGCATACATTAAACGATAATTGCAGTATGACATTAATATTTATTAAATTTAAAAACAATAAAAGTTATTTCAGATGAAATTACATAAAACAATTTCGTTGTTTGACAAAATATTAGAGCATTTTCTACAGAACTTGTGGGTTTTTTGATTTGCAACCAAGTTCTTTCAACGTGTTTCCGCTTTGTTTTCAATATACTTTACATAATGACATATTGATGTTTTATTTCTCGTAATGACCTAAGCTCACAAGGCGTTCTTTTAAGTAGCCCGCTAGCCTACACCCTCCACAATTTAACGATTGGATCCTTATGTATACTAACCTGGATTCTCTAACTGCTAAATTCAATAGTTTTTCATGCTCAGTGCAACATTTTTTTTCCCAGCATTATTGTAATTTCTGAAACATGGCTCAAGTTGTCAATTCCCAATTTACTTATTAACATTCCATTTATAATTTACAGAAGCGACCGTGCAAATAGTGTTGGTGAAAAGGTCTGCATTTATCTAGCGCCATCCATCACTTACTCTGTCAGCGGTTTAGATATCAAGATTCCCAATAAAGATTTATTCTCGTTAAAAACTTTTCTAGAAAACGACCAACAACTTTTTAAGGTACTTTGAAACCTGTCTATTTCTCATGAGAATCTAGTGATGTTTGGGTATTTCAATTTCCCAAAAATTCCTTGGCCACTACAGGTCTTGACGTACCACATAAGTTTCTTTATAAATTTTATTATAGATCCCAATCTTGAACAACCTATAAACAAACCTACCCGCTTTCGTATAAATGAAGAACCTTTAAGTCTAGACATTATATTAACAATTGAGGAGCCTGCTGCAAGAAGGAGGTAGCTCCGTAAATCAAAATTGTTGAGAAATGAAGAAAAACTTTTTCTGGTTATCTTTTCCGTACTTGCTTTGTGGAAGTCCTTGAGTTTCATTTACCGAGAAAAATTTTAATTTTTAATTATCCTAATAATATTTATAAGTTTTTATTGTGGAGCTACCTCCTTCTTGCTACCAACAACAAAAAAAAGTACACAAATTATTGGCTTCTTGCATTTATTGTAAATAAAATACACAACATTAATCATTGTTTTAATCTCCAATATCCTCATCCGTCATGTCTGTATCGTTACCATTGGCTGGATCTTCAGAAACGTTCAATGAATTATAATATACCATATCTACCTGTAGAACATATTGCTTAGCCAACTACATAACGTTGGAATATTTGTCTTTTTTCAGTTTTATTTTGGATTGATACACATTTGGTGGTATTTGAAACTGAAAATTATAACGCTGTATGTTGAAATTCAAATAAACTGGAAAATTTGTAGTTTCGCTACACTGTATTTCATCCATGTGGGCTTTATAGATAAAGATTTTATATTTTGTGATAAAAAAAATTTCTATTTTCTTGCCAACAACATTTTTTTTTAAAATACTGTTGGAAATGGTCCACAAAATTAAATATCATTTCTTGTGTCACTTCAAAAGTTTGAAACTTCCGGCTACTTTTTCCATACAGGCGATTGTATTCTGAAGGGGTATATACTCGTTCCACTTTCCTCAGATGTTTTTCTACTACACCAAATGCTCGGTCACATGGTAAAAACGAATGGCTTGACTGAAGAAACATGTGGATAATTTTTTCAAAACTTCCCATTTTGACAAGGCTAAACAAATAGTGCATCATGGTGTGGTTCTTGTTCTGAGCAACGCAGTTATCAGAAAACAGGTACAGAATCTTTATTTCCTTGGACAGAAAATTTTCCAAGTAGTAGTTTAGAAGGCTTAGTTTCATTTGGTGTCTTTCGACCTGTTACTTCGTCAAACATAAAAAATGGAATATTTCAGTTTTTGAAGAATAAACACAAAAGTTGTAGACCCACAGCTGGCGCATGTAGAAAACATCTCCGGAAGGTATTTTTGGCAGTGGTGCATTCTGCTAGTAGTCAAAGCATAGTGTTTTAATGGCCGAGTTATTTTTTGCTTCCTCAGACCTAACCTTTATCTCCTTGAAGAAGTAATCAGCCTTGCTTAAATGTAAGTCATGTTGTACTTTATTACGTGTTTTTTTCTTCTTCATACACAACAACTTTCTTTTCGGTGCTAAACAAGTCACACATTTTGAACGTATCAGATCTTGGGCTTCCAACTGAGAGATTGAAGTTAGTCTTCAAGTATCTAAAATAAAAATCGTACGTCACTATTGGCTTAAACTCTGTTTTCTTTTCCTTCATGCCAAAAATTCTAAACATTTCTTTATCATATTTCTTTAAATAAAGCTCATGCATTTTTCTTATATTTAATTCTGATCATAACTAATACATTTTGTGATTTTTGTTCCTACTGTAGTGCGACGATCATCGCGGAAAGCTTTTTATGTGGGAATCAACTTGTTGGACAATTTCAGGTGGAATTGCATTTACTCTATTATGATGTTTTCCTCGCTTTTCTTTTGGAGATGTTAAACAGTCATCCTGTTTTAGGTTCATCGCTTGGCGTTCCACTCTTTTTGTTGAAATGTTTTGTTTTATTTGACTGTTTACCAAGGCACGTCTGTAAATAAAAGTAAAATGCAGAATAAATAAAAAAAAAGAAAAAGGTTTTATGAAACTTACAGCGTACTTGTTGCTGACTCTCCTTGAATGACCGCTACTATCCTTTGTCCGTATTCTGGATACATGAAATACTGAAATTAAACCCGAAAGATACGTGTCTTGTAGGATTTTATCATCAATGTCATTGAACTTTTTAAGTATGCATGCTCTGTCCTCTTCTGTCACCCTTTCAAAATACTTCTACTTGCATTTGCGGTCGTTTCCTGTCTTCCGAGCATCCTTCATTTTTTTAACACTATTTAAATGCTTTTCGCCCTTAGCTAACATACTTTTGCGTTTATTTCTCTGCCACTATGAACTATCCACGACTCGTCTATTCTTTTTAACCCCAGTTCTAGGTGTATTTTCTACTTCAACTGCATCATTTTCGTCACTGCTTTCACTTTCTGGGACGTAATCATCACTTGATCCACTGCTAAATGGCTCATCAATTTCACTTGTGTCACTCATATTTATAAACAATTTATAACAAATGATAATTATTCACTGTGAAATTATGGTCTGAAAACTAACAATGTGCCAGATAATAACTTTTAGGTCAGGTGAAATGCTGCTGTCAAAACGGTTTAAACTGCTTGTTTGGTACAAGAAAGTGGCAGCTGCAGGAGCTACTGCTTTCTTGCACCAAACTAACGCGGAGGTAAGTTCAAAACTAGACATGCTGCAACCATTTATACAGTTAGATGCTTCGTTCTTGCACCAATCGAAAGAACTTCAAAAATTGCATAAGGTAGCAACATAACCAATTTTTTCTCGCAGCAAAGTCCTCAATTGACGTCCAACTTTTAATTTCTCCATCTTCATACATACGTACTGACCACGACGTTATTATATCTAATATACCCAAATCCCTATAGGCACGTAATCAACAGTGTCACAAACTTTAATAACGTAACGAAATTGTTTAAAATTACTTTTTTAGAAGTACTGTATTACTAGAAGATATGTGGATACTATTTCATACAAATATATCTGAAATTATGAATGCCAGTACAAGAAACAAAGTATATCCTCAAAACTAATTAAAACCTTGGATCAATGGGCAACTTTTAACTTTATTTAAACAAAAAAAATCTATTAAAAAATTGTATAACAACCCAGAGACATGCTGATTTTGTTAACCATCGACGTTTCTCCAACAATTTAACCAATTTTTCTGACAGAATACGAATAATGTACCGCTAGTAATGATAACCCCAAGTAACTATTTAAACACGTAGGATGCTTTCTATCTTAAAAAATATTGATCAAGAAACTGCTGAAGCTCTGGCCAATCATTTTTCACAAGTGTTTTCCTTAGAACCCAGTTAGTCACGATTCCAGAACAGCAATTTCTTTATATAATGTGCAGTTCTCGTTTGCAATTGTTTATGAAAATCTCAAAAAAAATTATTGAAATTCCTCACCTGGAATTGACAATTGACAATGCTTTTAAAAGAATGCGCATCTTATTTGGCTTTACCTGTATTCCTTATTATGACATTTTCCTATACATCTTACACTTATTTTTAAAAAGGATCAACCCATATAACTATCGTCCAAATTACCTGTAAGATAATGAAAACCATCTTCACCAATTCTGTCTGATTTTCTCAAGAATTATGATGTCTTGCCAAACGAACAATACGGTTTTGTCCAACACCGATTCACATTAACAAATTAAATAACCTCTTTAAACGATTGGATCACGGCTGTGGATAATAAAAAGCCTGTCGATGTTGTATGTCTTGATTTCGCTGAAGCCTTTCACTGTGTTCCCAAAAAGAGACTGCTTTATAAGTTGGAAAAAAAGCAGTAAGAGGAATTAATTACACCGACTTTATAAAGTTGAGCTGGGAACCGACAATGAGTTAATTTCAATCTAGAAATTTTTCATAGACTGCTAAAATAAAAGTTTGTGGTGTGGGGAATACAGCTGGGTAATGTTGAAAGTATTTAGGAGTAATGAATTTTGAAATTTGGGATAGTTTTTTTAGTGCTCTTTTCAACTTTTTACATGAAGCCAATAGGTGACAAATAGGCACTGAGTATTTCTAAGATATTGTCCCGTTCAATGAAACATGACACGATTCACGTAATGTAGGAACAAGGTAATAGGCACAAAATTGCGGTATAAGTAACACCGAGCGACGTTCTTTATTCTTGTTCCCAGCTTTAGTAATAATACGAAGCTTCATTTCAGATGCTTCTATGGAGGTAACTAGTAACAAGTTACTTTCTTTGTGAAACCAGCTGGAACGGTTCTAATAAAGTATCGCTCCAACATCTCTACATCTTTGTACAATAACAATAATTTGGTACTATTTCTAACATACCGGCATACACATTTCCAATGTTAAGATCAGATCCTGCGGTGTAGTTAAAAAGTAAATTAAAAATAAGAAATAATGTTTAGAAGTCAGATTTGCTTATCTTTTTCGGTCTGGGTCGTATAACTTTTTTGCAGCAGCTCATTTGAAGTTATGAAAAATTTTATTTTTGATTAGGTTTTCCGACCGAAAAATTACGGATTATGGTACATTTGAATAAAAAAAAAACTATAAGTTAACGATTGTTTTGATGGTTGATATAGAGGATCATGCTGTATACACATATGAATCATATTGATACGTTTTTTAACTGTGTATAAAAGTTATTAAAATAAACAAATTTTTAAAAAAATTCAAAATTAAGAAAGATACAGAATTAAAAAAACAAATCCGGGTCCGAACTTGTGTGTTAAAATTTGACTAAATAATAAATTTATTTATATTTTTTACTCTTGTCTATGTGTTTCTAATGAATCACGCTGGTATTGTCTACCTCAGTGTATCTCAGTCGTGATTCAGTGGTGTATTTATCTGAAGTACCTACCTAATAAATTTAATTTATTTAGTTTGGTAAATCATAACAAGAATGAACTTTAGGGATATGTTGCTTATTCATGATGAGTATCTTCAGGGTGCAGCTGCTGCATCGGTATTTTACAGTGAAAACTTTTCCTTAAAAAATGTAGAAGCATTGCGGGAAAATTAATTTTCGTTTAACGTGTTAAAGTACTACAACTTGAAGATTTTCCCACAAAGCTCAGTTTTGTGAATGATTTTTACGACATATATGATATTGACAAAATTTCTAGTATGGACAGAACCGTATTGGATACATTTTTTAGTTTTTTATTTTAGTGACCTCTATACACAGTTAAAAAAATTATCAATTTAGGATTCACCCTGTATTATTTGCTATATTATTCGATATTCCTGATGTTCTTTTCCTCGCTAATTGAAAAAAGGCGCGAACAGCATATAAATAAACAACTAACGCCGCATATTTTCCCACACAAACTTTTTTTGGTTCGTTTTATATTTTCATATTTTCCAACAATGCTCTTTGTGCTAGCGAACGAAAGTTGCAGCAACAAAAGATATGTTTTATATTGAAAGATGTTTTGAAACCGATACTCTCCGGCAAGCCATAAGGTACATTAAACAGAGAGCCTTCGTTCTCCATGTACGATATATAATCTTTGACATTTGACAACATAACACCTTTCAGCGGTGAAACGCGGTCGTCGTCATATCGAAGGTATTAAAGTGAGGGTTCTGAATAAAGAGCTCTTGGTAAATCATATTACAAAGAACATATTACGGACTTAATGTTCATGAAATGGTTTTCTTGGGCTTTCAACTTAATAGATTAGTTTAATATGACGTATTTTGTATTTATAATATATAAAGTATTCCATTAAACATATTTATAAGCATACAATCTTTGTCTTTTTAAGTGTTAACATTTAATTCAGAGCCGTGTATAGTTATCATGGAGATGACACCTATCTTTTTTGTCGGTTATTGCCCACTTTAGAAACATTTTTTGTAAATCACTCTTACTTAAGTATGCTTAAATTGTGTGTTTAAAAAGTAAATTTGTTATTTTTGTAACTCGTCCAAAATTGCAAATAAATGCTATTGTTTTCCACGTTATAATTTGTCCAAAAATGTCTAATAAAATATATTTAGTTTCCCGCAATACCGCAGGAAAGAAAATGGAAAAAACACTTTTCCGCACTAGTGTAAAAAAATGACTTTATTATAAACAGTAAACCACAAGAACGTTTCTAAAGTAGGTCTTTACCGACAAAAATGTAGATACAAATCACGGTTCGTAGACTGAAACGGTGGGCCTCATCACGATCGCTAAAGATGCAGTGATGTCATGGAATGAAAAAGTGATTTTACAGAAAATTCCACACCTGTAATTTTGAACCAATCAAAATACGTGTTTTTGACAGATCACCGTGGCAACGGAGGTATTTTAGTGGAAATTTTTTTCTCGTGGGGTACCCAACAGCGAATTATACTGGAAATTTTTTGACGTTTACAATAACAGACCATTTTTGACAGACTGGTTTTTATTTGTTCACATAATATGTTTAGTTTTGATACATTTTAGTTACAATGCTAAGGTTGTTACGGTTCAAAATCCATATGAATGTACTGGGATGCTTTTACCACAAAAATAATATATATAGTATTGGCATTTAACTTTTAATTTACTCTAATTTATTATTGAAGTATAATAGGAATAAAATCTATTAAAAGCTCACTCCGTATACACCGTTTTGGCTAGAAGATTATTAGGAGATCAATTTCTCATGTTCTGTGAGTTAACTAGAATGAAAAGATACCTTTTATATTGTCAAATTGCAAATTGTAGAAGATTAACCTTTTATCAAGTGTTTCTTTCTTGTTTTGAATATCCGTTCTGGTCCTCTGTAGATATATTTTCCATTGTTTTTCTTAAATTAGTTTGTAGTTAAATTCTAGGAGCCTAAAATGGACAAAGAAACGTTTTGAATTCTATAAATGGTTTCAGGGTTCATTTTCTTTGTTTATTTACATTAATTATGACATTATGTAATTCAAATTTATTCAGGTGATTGTCTAAATCATTACAAATAATTAAAACCCCAAATAATCTAGGTAATTTTGGAATTAAGTAGGTGATTGTGAGAAATTGGCTAATAATATTTTAAATTACCTGTCATATTTTATTTTCACTTCCTGTAGAAGTCATTAATTTTGTCGGTGCATATCCTTTCCACCATTTTTCATTCTTCTGGTATCATACCTTCATGGAACATGTGTTTTTGAAGATCTTCTTATAAGGATATAAGATACTAGAAGCGAAAAGACATTGAAAATTTAATAAGTATTGCTATTTGTTAGTATACTTAATCTCGCAAGAGGATTTTATTTTCAATTTAGCAAAAAGAACTTCTTAAACAGGCCACCTTTTACCTCAGGCCTTCTATTCTATTCCATTCTATACTATTCTGTTTCCTTTTCTGGCTATCGTAGTCACAGATAGTTACATTTCATTTTTATTACGTACAATTCCGGACATAACATTAATCTGAGGTAGTCTCAAGGAGCTGTATTTGAGAACCTTACTGTTGGATAGAAGTAAAC